ATATTAATTATATTACAACATTATGCCTATGCCAATATTTTTTAATCCCAGCAACCAATTAATATTAGGATTAAGCATATTTTTTTATTCATTCTTGTAGTTATCTAATAATACAATATGCATTATTTGATGTTGTTGTAACATGATTTTCAAATAAATTTAGATTATATAATCAATGGTTAAGAACTGATTTAGAGAAATTATATGTGAAGTACCAATCTTTATTAATATATTCAGAATTATTTTAAAAAACCTACATTCAAATATTTATTGTTATATATAAACTGAATGTAAGTGGTGACGAAGGGATTTAAATAAACCTCACATTTAATGGGAATAAACTACGTGTTGATCATTCAATTAACCCTCGTAATCATTGGAGAGGATATTAATATTTAGCATTAGCATGTGTAGACATTTGAATAAGGAAACTGACTTTAGATAATAATTATGCAATATTATATTTATTATTTTGGTATCTCACAATATCATAGGATGATGTCATAGTTATTTACATACTATATATATATATATCAAATTTAAATATTATATTTATTATTGTATGACATATTGGATCCGAATAATATTATGCGTAAACTAATCCAATTTCGAGATGAAAATATTTTATGCAAATCTATGATGCTTAAGTTATGAATAGAGATAAAAATGAATATTTTGAACAAGAAAGATAGGCGTTCCAGTATAAAGTTTCGTAATTACAATGAAAAAAGATTTTAAAGTTGGTATTTTTGTTGAAGTGATTAGTTGGAAATGTACAACCAGAGAAAAAAATCTTTACGTTGCTTTCCAATTAGATTTGGAAATTAGTAGTGAGACAACTTCTAACAGATTTTCCGTAAGTGGGAGGGACCATTGTTTTGGGGGTCATATTACTAATTACCCTCGTGCAATGTTATTGTTGAAATGTGCTTATAAATAATTATACTTATTATTTTAAATAAAATAAAATACATGAATAATTAAAACATTTTTATATACAATTAAAATATAAATTTAATAACGTTATCAATATAGCACAATAAACTTTGTTTTTCTTTTTTTTTTTTGGGTAAAGTATAGCATAACAAACTTGTTAATTAGAAAGCGAAACAGTCAAAACTTAAAAGTGAAAGATAAGAAAGTTTAACGTGGTGGTCTCAACTCATCTTATATCATACCATATGATGGCCGTTAGATGTACAGCTGTTGTATTGTATGAATTATGAAAGTGACAGCCGAATGGGGGTATTATTTATGGGGACGATGGTTCTGGCCCATAAAATCCTGCCACGTGTGGACTTGGAGTTACAACTTACACACACCCTCATTTATGACTATGTTATACTTTATTCATTGCTGAAAGCACGGAGTGTTTGGGTGAATTACCCAAAAACATCAAGAAAGAGAGGGAAATGTGGACCAACGTCGCACAGAATTCATAAAGGAGAACTACTTTATGTTCCGAAATTTCAGATTGATTTTAGATTAATGCAATGGATATTATTAAATCTTTGATTGACTAAAGTATGTGAGGTCCATATTAATGAATGAGTAATTAAATAAAATCATGAAGCATGTTGAATTTGTATCAAGTGACTAATTTTGACATTCTAGTATTTATCATTGTTTTAAAGCCCGAATAGAAGGGCAACCTGCTTCACTTTCCAGGTCACGGGTCAACCGGTCCAACCGGCCAGTTGGACCAGTGATGTTAGCATAGAAAAAAAAAATATTTTTTTTTGAACATTTCAGATTTTCAATAAGAATACCAACTTAATTGCTACCCAATTCAAACTCAATAACAATTCCAACTTGATTTAACTACTATCCAAAGTCTCCAAACATCATCCATTACAAATTAAATGACAAAATACGGTACAAGTGTTTTTTACATACAAATTCGGTGAACAAATTATCCATCAAAGCAATAGATTCATCAAATAAAGACAGTGAAATTTTTTTACAAAAGAGAGAGGTGTCGTCTTTGTCGATTTTGAGCAAGAGAAGTGTTGTTGTCATTGATTCCAGTGAAGGAGGGAGGCATCGTCATCGAGCAAGGGAGCAGGGAGGTGCATCGTCGCCGAAATCCTGTGAGTGAGATGCTGTCTTCGTCGAGCAAGGGAGAAGGCAGGTGCGTCACTGTCGAAATCCAGCAGGGGAGGTGCTGTCGTCGTCGAGCAAGGGAGAAGGAAAGTGTGTTATCGTCGAAATCCAACGAGGAAGGTGCTGTCGTCGTTGAGCAAGGGTCTAAGGGAGAGTGGAGTTGAGAGATTGAATTGAGACTGAGCGTAGTTACTTTGAGAAGGGAGTTGTGATTTTGGAGAGTTGAGTGGAGTGGAATACCGTGAAAAAAACTCAAATTTAGGGTTTTTTTCATTTTAAACATTGACCCGTTTTACCAAGCGATCTGGTTCGATCGGGCGGGTTGCATTATTCATCCGGTTTAATAACAGGTTAAACAGTTTTTAATTAATAACGGGTTTTTATATTAGTTTGGACTGGACACACAAACCAGTTAGATAGGCCGGTTCGGTCCGACTTGGCTTTTATAACAGAGGTATTTATATGCTAAATATAAGCTATAGGAAATGAAGGGTGGGGATGGAAATTCAACTCTAACTGACGCGAAATGTTGGAAGAGGGGCATGTCCATGTGAAGTGGCACACGATCACGATGTAAACATGACAAGAAATTTGACAGTTTTTCGGTAGTGTAATTTACAAGGCTACGGAAAAGCCAAAGTATCGTATGATTTTATGAATGAGTAAAAAAGGAATGGCAGAGTGTTACGTAAGCGTCTTTTTCATGGGCGCGTACACTTCAATCCAAAACAAGATTTTAAATGCTGAATTTATTTCAATTTTAAAGAATAATAAACCATATTTGTCAGCTTTAGAAAAGAATTTCAAATTTCTAGGGAAAACAACTGTTTAGAGGCGCGTGTATGTGGTGAAATTTAAAAAGAGAAAGAGCAACAAGAGTGTACTGAAAAAGGCTTTGAGACTCTTATTATCCATCTGAACGAGTTCTGTTCTGATCTGACTCATCTAATTTAAGATACTGCCAAAAAGTAAGGTTCATCACTCCCTAACCAACTACGTGACTTTTTCAACCATAGTATTTTTATACTCACTGGATAACCAAATACCACTCCACTTGAATTAACCTTCCCGCCCTTACGGTCTTGCAGGTGGCATTTCATATTTTTCACGGGTTAAAAAGGTTCAACAATTACCCAGCCCTACCCACACTCAAGTCTTTTTTATTCCTCCAAGATGAGGGGTCATAATCAATGTTTCTAAATGAAATGAAATTTATAGATACAATCTGTATTTTCTTCAACATTTTTTTTTTTTTTAATTTTTGAACCAAATATCACTTAAGATATGCGTAACAGTTTTCTCATCTATTTTCATTTATCTCTAGTAAGGTTGGTCTATAATTCAAACAAATCTACTAATTTCACTATTGGTGTTTTAAAACTGGTACTAACAACTAAAGCTCTAAAGAAAAGTCACTATTTCTCATATTATGAGCGCTAACATATAATTAATAAAACTTTATGAGAAATAAAATATATATTTTTTGAACCTTTTATAAATTATAAAGAAAAAAAAAAAAAAGGAACTCAAAACTTATCTTTCCGCCACTTATGAATAACTAGAAAAACCTTTCCACAGGCAAGGCTATTAATGACTAATTTCACCACAAGGCTATAATTATATAGAGCACCGTTGCTCTGATTGCTTGTCGACCCCATTTTAATCATCCATTCAAGTATTCAATTTAACTGATATTGATAAAAGTGTACATGTCAAGATTTGGAAAAACAGCAAAACAATCCCAAATAGATGCTGGAATATAAACAGTATATACCAAACTATCACATGTCAGATGTACAATTATAAATTTGAAAAAGCCGTCAACTTGAACCACTTTTCTATAATATTCAAATATTTGAATTCAATTTCGCTACAACATATGCAAAATTTTGTTCATTTATGATTAATATCACTAATTTACTTTGTGATTATTCCAACGCACCACAACTTCTAATTATGAACAAGACATTTTTATTTATAATTGGTTCCGTATGCGTTGTGTCGTCGCAATCAGATAAGAATATAGATTTTAACACCCTACCTATCTTTGTACTTCAAACAAACAACTTCTAGAGAATGAATAAGGACAAGTGCATAATGAAGGTTAGGGGACATACCATAAATGAATTTGAGAAGGCTCATCTGCTCCATTCCATAATCTTGCATATCCTTCTCATAAACATAGTTATTGACTTATATAGTAATAATAATATCCTAATTTCAAACCTGTAAGAGCTTTCGGATAATTATTGTCAATTCTGACTTGTTTCCTTATTTAAAAAAAATAAAAGTACGAAGTTTTCTCTCATATCATTATCTCCTTCCCCTGGATTACGTTAAAACTCCCATCCCAAATTATTTACCCAATTAATGTGTTATCGACTTGTTATCACCAAATAAACTTGAAAAGTAACTTTACAAATAAGGTTAAAAATTTCATTCCACAGGACTCATAGGAGTGAGGTCAGGTCAGTTAAAAGTACTGAATCCAGTTTAGCGTGGTCCACTAAAGCAAAAGGTTGGGCCAGGTCGATCTAAAGAAGTTAACAATGTTACAGGCTCAACATTCTATGTGGCTTCCAAATTATCATTTTGTCCATAATTGTTACAGCAGCTGCGGGGAAACACTGAAGTACGAACTTCATAATATTACCGGACAATATTTTAAAAATAAAAAATAAATAAGATAGCCCCGGTAATTTAGCAAACCCCCAAAGAAACATTAATATACTATGAACTAACCAACTATAATTAAACAATCAGTCAAGGTTTCTTCACCTGAGATTAAAGAGCCCATACAGTCATGTCTCTTTATGAATTTCTGACTTAATTTCACTGACAAAAAGCCAACAGAAGATTTTCTTCAACTATTTAACATTCTTCATCAAAAAATGAAAAAATTGTTCAAATATTATAGAGTGATATATCAAGTAGCAATCGAAGTGATAATTACAGCATAACCTTAATTACTTTCCAACTTCTCTTATGTGGTTGATCAGCAATTTGCATAAAGCAACTTTTTAGAGGAAATGCACCTCGCTAACTTAATTGGCCAAGTAGTCATGTGAGTGATTTAATTGGGCCCTGATTATCAAATATGAGTACACATACTGGAAAGTGTTAAAGATCAGGAACATGCACTACGCTGGTAGTAGCTTTGTCTTCCTTTCTTGAAGCTTTCTTCCGTTTCCTCTCAGATTGGGGTTCTTTTGCTTTCAAATCATTACAAAATGACCTTAATAAGGAAGCCAAATGATCGTTTCTATGAGCTGAAAACATAAGGTAGAAACCATAAGGTAGACATTCTATGGGAAATAAAATAATAACATTCAATTCACATGACATTCACAGTCCATGGACTTGAAAACTCACCAGAAAGTATGACATCTTCGGTGTTCACAGATTTACGTCCAGCATGCTGTGCAAATAGCTCAAGATCCTTTGCAAGCTGTTCTGAATTTCAAAAGGTTTTCCTCTTGATTAGTTCAATGAAACTTGATGTTACAATGATCAGAACACATTAATGGCATAGCTGATGACAAAAAACTTCATCACCTAAATCCTTGCCTGACGCTTTTTAAGTATAGTAACTAAGCAGTGCAGTATTGTTCCATTGTGATGCTTATGTCATTCCTTTCTTTCAGCAAGACAAAATGCAAACGTAAGATGGAACTTGTTAAATGAATCTGAATTCTAAAAAACCATCATGAAATCTGGTGCAATTTATAAGCATATATAATACCAGCTACATTTCTTGAATAGAGCATGATACAGCTTCAAGCTACTGGGAGGAATTTGGACAACTACTCAACAAAAGAGGCAGATAGATCTGTTTCATATCATTATCGTGAAACAGCAGAAAATAAATGACAGCTAAATGGGTAGCTATTATATATTTAAGTAGGAGAAAAACCTCCCCATGACTAGTAATTACCATGAATAAAAACTTAAAACCATAAGTTGAGCTGCCCCGATTTCACAGTTGTCCCAACTTTTGAGCATACTTCCAAACTTATTCTTCATAAATGGATTTAGCAACTGTAAACCTCAGAAAATTTTAATCAGATTATCACTATCACAGTTTTTTTCCCTCAACTCCTCTTGATTGACTACAGCAGTTCCTTCACTTAAGTTCCAGTTTGCTTATGAGCATTATAATGAAATCATCAAGGCATCAACTGTGAAGGAAGAGACACACTACACTTAGGAGACTAAGATATTATTTGGTAAATCAGCATATCTCTTGATTTGATAAAGTAATGAGTCATCTTCTAATATGCTTAACACACCTCAAAAAAAGCTGTTGTATTGGGTGATAGTAAATAGTCTCATGTAACTGTAGTTCTGTGGCTTGTCAAACTAAGTAAACTTCTTTGATATCATCACATACCTGATAGATTTTTCAATTGTAAATCTCAATCATAATATTAATCCTATTAAAATGTTCCTGTTTCTGATAACAGATTTTCAGCTCAACAAAACTTTGAGTTGTGGATTTCATCAACCCTCACGCCATATAGATAATAAAAAACATATCAGTCTGTATAATCATGTTATCATAATTACCATTGAAGTGAAATAGTTAAAAGAGACAATGCTGAATTGTCAAAGCCTGAGTAAGTAATAGCTATCACATGCATGTAAAACCAAAACCATGTATCGAAACAGATTTCTTGCATTCTAAACAGATATAATTAAGCTATTACGGATCAAATCCATTCTTGTTGGACACATACGTAGATCCTTAAATCCATTGGATATTAATGTTGATTGGCCAATTGAACTATTACTTTTAACTTTGCCTGTATTGAGAACAGAAAAAAGCATTTTCTACCTTACACACCGTTACTGTTATTGTCCACCAAAAACATATTCCTCTTAGCAGCTTAAAGTTCCAACAAACTCTCTTCATCAAGCAAGGAAGATAATACTTATTTGTTATAAACTATACATATATCATTAACATGCACCGAATCTTGGAGTATTAGGATTCAAAATTTTCTAATATTGGTATTTTAACCAAGATCAAGCATATTAGAATATAAGCTTTATTTATCAAATGATTATCTTAGGCTTCAAAAACTAGTGTGATCAATTTTTTGATTTGTTGTTACTAAAACTTCAAAACCTAACATAAAATCTGCCAAAAGCCTTGCCCGAATCAACTAAGTAGCAACTCAATTTGTGCACTAAAATAATTTGCCACTCGTAACAAGAAAAAAAATTCAAAAAGTAAAACACGATTCGCGATTGATCTAATTTATAGCAAATGATGATAACTCATTTATCAAGAAAAGAAAGTATAAAAAAATAATCCAAAAAATTTTGTTGCGTGAATCTTACCTGTGTATTTAAAGGCGAAATCTGCAATATAAGCTATTATCGGTTCAGATATTTCCAAGCCGTTTCTCTTTGCTGCTCGATCAAACAAAGGACAATTAAACTGAAAACGGTGAGTTTTGGTTTATCAGAACTGGCATTAAATGTGTCAAAATAAACTAAAATGAGCGGAGAGAGTGAATATCGAAAGAATCTAACCTTCGGTTTCGGCGATAGAGATGGTGGCGAGACGAAATCGATCTCTTAAGATATTAATTACAGATTCATCTTCTTCTTTCTCTACATCGATTCCATTTGCATCTCCTTCCATTGCAAGCTGTAGCTATCTAGGTTTCTCTGTTCCGTGATTATCCGTACAGACAAAATATAAATAAGAGGGAACAAGGAGCGGAAAAGAAATGGGGACATTTAAAGATTGGTGTTCGTCCTCGGGGATTAAACTGTGCGATTTATTGCCTTTAAAAATTTATAAAAAATGCCAATCAAGAGTTAAGGCGCATCATTTTGCTAGGTTAATCCACAAATTAATCAGATAATTATTAAAAGGGTACGTCTACATCACTGATTATCATAATCCAATATATATAGAAAATATTGGACTCTCTTAACTTCCTTGGAGGAAGTCATAAAAATCCAGTGGAGTTACTAAAGGAGACGTGCAATTCTGGCCTTGACAATACTAATAGGTGGAATAGCGGGGACCAAATTGTAAGAATGATTAATTCTGAATCTCTGATTTCGTTTCTTGTCTGAAACAAAACAAAATTTAGAAGGTGAATCAAAAAAATTAATAGCAATTGATGGTTGAGGGTTTTATTTATTTGGATAAGACAAGAAATTGATGGGTCAGTTGCCAACATCATAAGTAACTATTTTATATAAAATTTACCAGTTTTGGTTCTAAATTGTCATTATCACCTTAACCAACTTACCATGTCCACTGCCATTTTAGGGCAATGCTATGTGCATTAACCATTTATACTAATCCAAGTACTAATATTGAAAATTTAAAATTTCTCCCAAAAAAATATTCAAATTTTTCAATATTAATACTTGGATTAGTATGAAATGGTTAGTACACATAGTATTATTGGCCATTTTAATAGTGATTTGGGTTCTTTATGAACATTAAAGCATTTATTTATATTTTTATATGGACAAGATATTTCTCGTTTGGTTTATAATTAAAGTTGATACTGGGGACAGTAACCGACATATATCACTTCCTACGGGACATATCATTGAGACTAACTTCATTCATTATGACGTCCGGTTGTTAATCTGGTACTTTACAACGTTTGACAGAGGTCGTTCTTTTATATAGGAATCTTCGTATAGAGATTGAAGGGAAAATTTGTTAAATATAGATTCCTTTATTAATTCCTACCAATCAACCTAAACTCTTATCTCTAACGTTTATTTCTCGTGTTGAGTTACCCTCCTTCACCCTAAGGAACTTGTCTTGTAATCTCAAATCCGGGCTTAAGTACGAGTGTCTTGTCTAAATTGTATATTATATACGTCCAGAAATGGAAACAAATAGGTCGTTAGTAAACTCGTGAACGACGGAAATCTAGATTGGTCTAGAATAGCGTTTGCGAAGAGAAATCCGGAAGTGGTTCTTGCAATTCGTGTGTTAAAACAAAGTCATCTATCATGGCAGAAGGGTCAAATGACATGCACAAAAATACTAGTTCTCTGCCAAATGGAACTGATGGCAAAGTTAAGACAGTAAAACACCCTCGATGGACCAGACAAGAATCTCTTGTTCTCATACAAGGCAAGAAGGTTGTAGAGAGCCAAATTCAAGAGGGTCACCGATCCATTTCAGCCTTTGGACCAGACCAGAATGAACCCAAGTGGGATTCAGTCTCATCATACTGTAAACAGCGTTGCGTGAACAGAGGATCAGTACAATGCCAGAAAAGATGGAGTAATATTCTTGTAGATTTCAAGAAGATCAAAACATGGGAATCTCAGATGAAGGGAGAGGTGAAATCATTCTGGATGATGAGGAATGATTTGAGGAAAGAAATGAAACTGCCAGGTTTTTTCGATAAAGAAGTTTATGATGTCTTAGATGTAGGAGTCCTTGCCATGCCAGCAGTTCCATTGGCACTTCTGACAACCATTATAGATGCAGAAGATGGTAAACATTATAAGATCATGACTGTGGCAGAGAAAGAAGATGAAGATGACAAGGCAGAGACAGTTTTTGATAGCAGTCAACAAGCTCCAGCACAAGATGGTTTATTCAATTTTGAACCAACTGGATACAAGGAAATTGACCAGAGCTGAGAAAAGGAAACAAATGGAAAAGCGAGTCCCAACAAGACAGTTGCTAGCCCGTTGCACATTTCAGGTAAGTCATAACCATCTTGTATCAACATTATTCAAATTTCAGATATCAGTGACTTTGTTACTTTCTAAGAGTTGTTTCTAATATCTGAATCCTAGATCATTTAAGGAAGTTAAGATCTAAAATTATTTTTTTGTCTTGCAGATACAAGGAAAGAGAAGTGTCCAGAATCAAGTAAATGTACAGGATCTACATCTCAGGAAAGGTGGAAGAGGAGGAGGTTGTCATTATGTGTTAGTGAGGAAAAGAACATGGGGGACCGCTTGATCATGGTTCTAGAGAGGAACAATAGCATGCTGAATGCTCAACTTGAAGCACATAACATCAATTGCCAACTGGATAGGGACCAAAGGAAAGAGCATTTGGATAGCATGATCACTACTGTGAATAAACTCACAGATGCTCTACTGAGAATTGCTAATAAGTTCTAGGAGAAAATGCAACAGCAGAGATCCTAACAAAACTCCCACCAGTGTAGCTGAGCATATGGGAAATGTCTGATAGACACCACAATTGATCTCAGTCATGCTTTTACTTTCTTTGTCAAATCTGTGATCAACAAGAAGCTTCAGTATGTACAAAGATCCCACTCCAATCTTTTCCTCCCATCTGGTTCACAATTGCAATGAGGTAGGTAACAGAAAGGGGTACATTTGTCAAATAAGAGAAATCTGTACGGTTTAGCAATTTGATATTTAAATTACATAATTTCATTTGCAAGACTTATTATCTTGTCACATATTAGTTCACTCCGTATCAAAATCTATATCAAGTGATATTCTGCTCTTAAAAGATTCTTTTGACAGGTACTTGAATGTTTGAAAATCTGAACGCTAAGAGTAATAGAGCTCAATCTATTGCCAAAGAAAACTTGTAAGGTAACAAGTTAATCAAATTGAAATTTCGGATAAAAAATCGAGCAAAATCTTCCAATTGGCTCAAAAGTTAGGTACTAAGAGGGACATCTAATATACATTACAGATACATAGATACGTGTACATAATGATGAGATACAACAAAAATTAGGGCTCTACAAAAAACTTGCACCACTTTCACAACCATTTATAGCAACGGAAAAAGTGGAATAAGGTAAAAATCCAAATCTAACCTTTCTTCCCTCTATGCAGGGACAGCCTCAACAAGCCTTGCAAAGTAGAACTGTGTAGTAATTAAGCCCCTCTTATTTATTTTCCACCCAGCCTTTTGTAGTGCTCTCTCCACATCTGCCTCTGCGTGGAGATATGCTCTTGTTGCCTTTGAAGGCCCGGGAAACAACTCTCCCACTCTCTTCAACAAATCATAGTAAAATGTCTTTGGTGCAAAGCTTAGAATAAGGCGTTTTTCAGCCAATGAAGCCAGGTGGCCAATCATCCCATCTGCTTTATTCTGGGGATAATGTATCAAGACATCTAAGCAGACTACCGTGTCATACTTTCCATCTAAACTCTCCAGATCCTTCACTTCAAATTTAGGCAGCACGGGTGTTTCACCTTCATTCCCTGCTGATAGTTGCTCTTCTGCCTGCACAATAATAAGATTTAATCGCACCCAGTGGATGAAAATAAAGCTGTAACTGCATTGTTCAGATTTTACATGAATACATGGATCACAAATCAAATATAAAACATAGAATGCCCAAATGCAAATTGTTTTTACATTTATCGTAAAACATAGCTTCCATTATTATAAAAAAAAAAAAAAAAAAAAAAAATCATTCCAAACGAGAGCTGAAGCTGAAACTTTATACTCTTTCGCGGGTTGCAATACAATATCCAATGCTAGTAGCAGTGTAGCACTACCGTCCAGGTCCAATAATGTTAACGAGTCAATTGAAGTTAGAATAGTATTATTATCAATTATGTCATTTAAATGATGTTGCACAAAATGTATTACCATTTACAAGTCACCAAAATAGTATTTACCAAAATAAATACGACCGAGATTGTGATACGGTGACTACGCGAGATATCAATTCACTATTACTCAACAATACATAAGCACATTTCCAGCAAACCGAAACCAAAGCATCATAAAATTCAAAAACGACCAGTCGTCTCACCTGTTTCTTAGCTTCAGCGACCATAGCCGCCGAAATGTCGCTAGCCGAAACAATCGCCCCTTCTTTGGCCAACGGAATCGACAGACTCCCGGTCCCACACCCGGCATCACAAACTGTTACTCCTCTTAAAGACCCTTCTTCAGTCAACATATTCATCACATTTTCAACGGTCTTCGCGTGACCCAGACGAATATCACGCTGAACTTTGTTCACATCATCAGTCTCACCGTAAATCTTCTTCCATCTTTGGAAACCTGAATTATTGAAGTACTCTCTCACAACGTCTTTATCTCCACCACCGACTTCCTCGGCCTGGAGTCGGCGCCGGCGCTCTGGGTCCGCGAGGGAAAGCAAGGCGGCCAGTGCAGCAATGGAGCCGCCGCTTATAACGGCGAGAGTGGAAAAGTCTGGGATGGAGGTGGTGGTGGCGGTGGAGAGAGGGGGGATGGCGGCTGGTGGTGGTAGCATCGTTTTGATTGGTTTGGTGCGTTTTGGAGAGAGTATAGTAGGATTAGTGTGGAAGGGAATATGAGATGATAGAGAAGCTGAAAAAGCCATTTTATATTATAGATTGAAGTTTTTCAAAATATGGATTGTTGTGTGTCCGGCCGGTGGGGAGAGGGGAAGAAATGGCGGTTACGTGGCGGGGAGAGAGTAGTTCTGTTAGTGGTGACGATGATATTGGTTGGTTGGAGATAAGATAAGAGTTGGAGATGATGGCCCGTGGGCATTCGATTTCCGTGGGGCCCGCTTTGTTTTTGGGGACTGTTTGTTCTGGTTCATCGCTGCGACGCTGCCATACGTTAATGTTTTGGATCTCACTACTCACGGATTTAAAATATAGGCCGGCACGTTTGTTTTATTATTTGTATACAGCTTTTAAAAAAGTTAAGAGTGAGGTAGTTATTACAAGAGAGAAGGATTTGAAAATTTACAAAAATATTATCCTACATTTGCTAATTTGTCTAAATATGCATATAATAAAATATTAAAAATTAATAAAAACACATTCAGTCATCTGTTAAATATCGGCAGTCGGCCACAATCGTTGGAGGGTGGTCGATAGTCACTGTAATAGCTCATGATCGGCTAGATCTAGTCGGTCGTGCATCGATATGGCATTTTCTAGTCATATTTGGCCATGTTTGATCATCAACGATTGCCAAAGATATGACTATCTTTGATGACTAGCTTCGACCAAAGATATGGCTATCAACGACCCAGTCTTTAGCTGTAGATTTAGCTAAAAAATGATAGATCGGCGCACTACCAGCTATATCCAATCAGTAGTGCGCTATTACACCAGATTCTGGCTACCTTCTAGCGGTGGTGGCTGGAATCTGACAAATGTGGGTGGACGAATGTGTTTTTATCAATTTCTAAACTTTTTGTGTGTGTTTAGTTAAATTAACAAACCTATGAGGTTTAAAAATAGTTGAGTAAAATATAATAAGATTTTCGTAATAGAGAAACAAACAAATATATATTTTGGGTAAGATAGGGATATGACAGTGTGGGAATGACAAAACACACGCAGCTAAAGTTCTTTAAAACGCTATGATATATATATAGTTATGCCTAAAAAGTTAGCAAGAGCTAATCAGGATTCATGAAGGTTTTTTGCCATCCAAATGTTGCCACGTCGCACAGTGATGGAAGAGGTATGGTTCTTGTCAGTGCAGCAGGTGAACGCCAGGCTTGCGAGTGATCAGGGATTGTTCACCTGCTTAAGCCCTACGCAATTTGAGGATATTTCTCGTGCAAATAACTAATGAGATGCAAAGAAGAACTTGCATGACACATACCCACTTGCAGGCTTGTAATCATTACCTTGAATCCTCCCACTATAAATAGAAGACTCTCCTCTCATTTATGGGATTGACTTATCTTAATCTAAAAATAGCATACACACACTCTCTCTCTCTCTGTTTTCCCACTAAATTGTAACTCAGCTCGCCACACGTGATCTAACTGTACTCATCTATTAATACAACAACAGTGGATGTAGGATTCACTTTTGAGCATCCGAACCACTTTAAAAATCGCTTCTCATTTATTATCTTATTTTATGTTTTCATATCACGTGTAATTTTCAAGTTCGTTTAACACTTTGCATGTGTAAGTCATTGGTATCAAAATCAGTATATATATATATATATATATATATATATATTCTAATAATGGGAAATTAATCAAATTAATATTGTACTATAACTATGTTTTTAATTTAAGATTGGAGTAAAACAAATCATATATGAACAAAAGAAGCAGTTAATTATGAATATATATCAATGACTTTGAAGATAAATAAGTAGAGTTGTGCTGATACATGAACTATTTAAGTTCTTTATATTTCCAGGGATTGGGGCAGGTTTGTCTCATTTATCATCCTAATTGAATTGTTCAATACTTCAATATTGTGATGATGCTACCAAACTTTAGTTGATAGATTATAAAAAGGTTTAGTTGAAAGAGGACTTGTCTTAACGCGGAAAAAAAAAAAAAAAAAAATCACTTTTGAAAAACAACAAAGCTACGGACACCGAAAATTTACATCGAAAATATGTACCGGCCTACGTGTTTTTTTTAACATTTTTTTCTAGTGAACGGCCATTCATCAAATTTGGACGGCTGTTCACTCACATGGACGCCGTCCATAATATATGCGGAGGTCCATATACAAGGGACGGGCGCCCCATTTAAAGGATGTCGTCCATAATAAAATATGAAATAAAAAATAAAAAAACTTAGGGACAGCCGTCCATAAATTTTGGATGGCCGTCCATACTAAAAAAAAAAAAAAAAAAAAAAAACGTTTTGGACAGGCGTCCATTGCCGTCCCCTGATGTTTTTTTTGCCTAATTCTTCATCATCATCTTTAATCCTGAAGTAACCTTTGAAGTTTTAAGTTTCTCCAGGTATCGAATCTCGTCTCATCCTCATCATCCCTTTAAATTTATCCAATGTTTTACATAGACATTGGATTTTTATTATTTTTAATTCCAAAAAAAGGCCCTAGAATTTAGTGCATAACTAATGAATTTACATTAAAGAAAGAACCTTCCATTTCCATATCCACAATCACACTGAAATTATTACCTCATAATAACACCATATCAAAATATCCCTCCATCACCACCATCATAACCAGAACAGTGCTTTGAATGTGTCATAATAACACCATACGACGTACCATACTCAATTTATTAAATCCAGCTGTTAAATTTCCCAGGGGGAGTTATGTTTCACTTTTTTAAACTATGAGGGTGAAAGGTTGTTTTCACAAACCAAAGGGAGTGCAGAAATTTTAAATATACCCTAAAAGAAAGAAGAATGATTGGTTCGTCTTCACCAATCACCATATCACAAGAACAGCCTAACGTGCTTTAATAATAATATATAGATTCTTTATCATTATAAGCGTCAATACATGCAGTCAATCACAAAAAATCAGATTTGGTTCTTCTAAAATCTATTTTATTGATAAAAACGTGACATTTAATAGCATATTTAATATAACAGCTGAAGATAATTATAATCGATATTTCGATAAATAAAATAATCCGACAAACGAGTCTTGAAGGCCAAACCGAATCGTAGAAAATCCTAATAAGATAATGCGAATATAAACTAAACGTATACTAATCGATTCGGTAATAGCAACTAATAAATGATGGTCAGCATGATATTGGCATATTAACTGTAACAAATTCTTAAATTTCACGGGACTTGCTATTTTCACTGAGTCTGAGCTGGAATTTTGGATTGACAGACTATTCACTCACTTTTTACTACCAGATAAAGCTTAGAGATCAAGACTTGTTTATTCCATATACAGACACTCCATCTTGCTTCATGTGCTCGATAATATACATTATGTTCGCTGACTGTTACCAAACAAGCAGTACAAGACAAAGAAACGAAAAATCATTTTTGGAATTTTCGCTTCATCATATCCAAGAGAAAAAAGATCTGTAACTTATATCTTCTTTATATTTAAACTCTCCAAAGTTGCTACTTGTTTGAAGTAACTGTTGGCAACCGGCATTAATGGCAACTCAGTTTCGTTTGATATTGCTCTTTTTGTTGGCATTGTTGTTGTGGAGTCGAAGTATATAAAATATAATACTAGGCTGGGATTGTTCCGGGGAAGATCAATGTTCATTTGGTGGCTCACTCAAATGATGATGTCGGTTGGTTGAAAACTGTGGATAGTACTATGTTGGATCTAATAAATAGCATCCAGGTTAGATACTTTATAGTTAAAAAGGTTAAGGTTTCTGTTTTTGATTTAAAGTTTGAGATTTATTTATTAATTTCGTTGTTGATTGCAGGGTGCTTGTGTGCAGAATGTGCTTGATTCCATAGTTCCGGCATTGTTGGCTGATAAGAATCGCAAGTTCATATATGTTGAACAGCAGGGCTTATGCCTTTTTCTTTCTTGTGTTTTGTTGGTAGTTGAGAAAATGTTGAAACAGAGATGAAACTGAACTTTGCGTCAGTAGCAATAAAAAAAAAAAAAAAACTTTAATTTCTCTTACTTTGCTTTTGCTCAGTCTTTTACGGAAAGAATAAAAAAAAGCTTGAAAATGAGTACTAGTTGAAAGGTTTGGTCGTTTTCGTTATTCGTTCTGCTCCTTTTTTGAATTGTATTTTTTTTTTCCCTATATACAGGCATTCTTTCAGAGGTGGTGGACAGACCAGAGCGAGGAAGTCCAAGATACCGTGAAGCAGCTCATCAAGTCAGGTCAACTCGAGTTAATGTATGAAAGAAACAGTTCAACTTTCTTCTTGTTAATTTCTAACGTTTACTCTGAAACTAGGATCAATCCTTCAAATGAAAGAAATATTTTTTTAGCATTTTTTTATTTAGGATGTGAAGTATACATACTTTGGGTGCAGAAAGGGGGTATGTGCATGCATGATGAAGCGGCGCCACATTACATTGATATGATTGATCAAACAACTCTTGGACCATCGATTTATCAAAGAAGAATTCAATTTGACTCCAAGAATTGGTTGGCAATTGATCCCTTTGGTCATTCTGCAGTGCAGGCTTACTTGTTGAGTGCAGAGGTAGTACCTCTTACCCTGCTGTTGTAAATATGGGTCATGTAATTTCTGTGAAAATGCTTTTCCATCATGATGGCCAAAACAATTTAAAATCATACAGTCCCTTCACCCTCCTTTATGCATGGTTCATCAATTTGTTGAACAAAGGCCTTCTTGTTGGTTGTGTAGGTTGGATTTGATTCACTTTTCTTCGCAAGAATTGACTATCAAGACAGAGCTAAAAGGAAAGATGAGAAGTCTCTTGAGGTTGTCTGGCGTGCCTCTAAGAGTCTTGGTTCTTCTGCACAGGTAACTTTATCTCTCTTTGACTGTAAGCGCGCTGTGGTTTGATTTAATGCTTCAAATGATGTTTCTGTTGTCTCATTGTTGTAAAATTAGTAGTGCATTTGCTGATTGAATTGTTCCTTTTTAGATATTTGCTGGTGCATTCCCTGAGAATTATGAACCTCCCAGTAATTTCTACTACGAAATTAATGATGATTCCCCAATTATCCAGGTAATTTCTGCTATCAACTTAGTGATGCATTGATGTTCATATATATGATCACTCCTGATTCTTTTTTTGTTCTTCCCCTGACTTGCAGGATAACATGAATTTGTTTGACTATAATGTCCCTGAGCGCGTCAATGAGTTTGTAGCTGCTGCCGTAGCTCAAGTAAAATAGTGATATTAAATTGGCGTTCTATGCTTTGTTATACTTTATTATATCTCAAGAGAAACCAGTCAAAGTGTGCCAGTATTTTTTTGTTTGTTTTTTTTTATGTATATTTTTAAATTGATGGAAAATCTCATGTAAAAGTAGGTTTCTACTATTATTGATGTCAAATTATGCTTTGTTATACTTTATTATATCTCAAGAGAAACCAGTCAAAGTGTGCCCAGCATTTTTTGTTTGTTTTGTTTTATGTATATTTTTAAATTGATGGAAAATCTCATGTAAAAGTAGGTTTCTACTATTATTGATGTCAAATTAGTATCATACCCACTAGTTCTTTACTTATAATTAAAGCTTTATTTAAATTATGATCTTTGGTAACGACAGTGCACCGTTGAGTTGGTGTGACATTGAAAGTTTCTAATTTATATAAAAATGAAGTTAAAATATGAATGACTTAGAATTTTGCTGATAATATTACTCCTCTTTTCTGCAGGCTAACATAACTCGGACAAATCATGTTATGTGGACTATGGGAACAGATTTCAAGTATCAATATGCACACACATGGTTCCGGGCGATGGACAAGTTTATTCATTATGTCAATCAAGTTAGTTTCACCTCACCCCAAATTATTTTTGCATTACCAAATTTGTAGCTGAATGAAATTATTCTGCTCTCACATTTCATTTTCAAAATAATTTCAACCTGCCTTAGGTTGATCAGTTCTGTTTCTACATTATCCAACTCCTTCCAAGTCCTTTCTGGATGATATATATTTTCTTGTGTGTTGTGTTTGCTAAATTCATTTTCTAGTTATCTTAAGGCATTTCCTGATTTCTACAGATGATCTTATGTTAGTTACCCTGAAACTTAACCTTCAAGTTCTTAGTTTTCTTTGTTAATGGAACGACTGGTTTGGATGACATAGGATGGTCGTGTTAATGCCATATACTCAACTCCATCGATATACACTGATGCAAAGCATGCGGCAAATGAGGCCTGGCCACTGAAGACAGATGACTACTTCCCGTGAGTATAGATTTCAATTTTAAATTACATATATGATATTTTATTATATCCATCCGTCTTTTGATGTTTAACCTGTATTTGCAATCATAAATTTATCAGATATGCAGACCGTGTAAATGCTTACTGGACGGGATATTTTACAAGTAGGCCTGCCTTGAAAGGCTATGTTAGAACAATGAGTGCCTACTATTTGGTGAGACATATTTTACAAACTACTACTCTATATTGTGATCATTTATTATAATTTTAGATATGTTAATTTTCCTTTGATTATAATGTATGAACAGGCAGCTAGACAATTGGAGTTCTTTAAAGGAAAGAATAAAGCTGGTGCCACCACTGACTCTTTGGCTGATGCTTTAGCACTTGCACAACATCATGACGCAATCAGTGGTACCTCGAAGCAGCACGTTGCTTCCGATTATGCAAAACGATTGTCAATTGGCTACAAGGAGGTTTGGACTTGATTTTTTTTCTGAAATTATTCTAATAGTTCTTTTCAATTTGCTAAAGTCTAATGCTTCTCATTTGATAATTTTTTTTCCTGGCAGGCTGAGGAAGTTGTTTCAGCATCATTTGCTTGCATTGCAGAGTCATGCCTAAAAACTGGTCGTCCAAATCCAGTGGTGACGAAGTTTCAACAGGCACTATACTATACTTCACACTTGCTGCATTTTTACTATGTATTTAAACTTGCATTCTAGGATGCTAATGAGTTCTTCTTAAATTTGATATAATGGGATATTGTACCAACTCAAGATTATGGAGATAACTTTTATGCTTCAGATGTGCTCTTCAAAACCACCACAACATAAATTTGCTCCTTCACTCATTATTTTGGCCAAAATTTTAAATTTTACAAATGCTGATTTCCATTTTTATTTGGCCTTGCAGTGTCCACTTCTGAATATAAGCTATTGTCCTCCATCAGAAGTTGATCTGTCTACCAGAAAGAACCTGGTAAGGAGAATACCTGGTTGACCTTTCATTTTTTATAAATTTTTTCAGCATGCGTTTTGGTCTTTTGAAAAGCAATCATTTTATTCCACTTAATTATAGATGTATTCTTTGATGTTCTCTTCTGTAGGTGGTGGTGGTGTACAATCCCCTTGGGTGGAAAAGGGAGGATGTTATTAGAATTCCTGTGAGTGTTTTTTTAAAAGTTTTAACTTCATATTTTGATTTTAGCTTTAATCATTGTTCCCTGCTCCTTGCTTTATTTTCTAAGTGCACAGCGAACGTAGAATATTTTTCTTTTCTTTATTTTTATTTTTTTATGAATATTCATATCATCTAAACTTTCTAACTTGCTGCAGGTTTATAACGAGAAAGTCACTGTGAAGGATTCCGAAGGAAAAGAAGTTGAATCACAACTTCTGCCCATTCAAGATGCGTATAAGACCTTAAGAAACTACTATTCTGTGGCTTATTTGGGGAAATCCAAAAAGGAGGCCCCAAATTATTGGCTTGCATTCTCAGCATCTGCACCACCTCTTGGTTACAACACTTATATCATCTCAAGTGCCAAACAATCAGGTTACAAAAGTGATTGCCATTTTGTAAAAATACACATCTGACATAGATGAATATGTTAAGTTGATTGTTCTATTGTGTCTCACTTTATGGTTGCAGCGGTTTCGTCGGAGATTAAATCATTTTACAATTCTGAAACTGCTAAAAATGATAAAATAGAAGTGGGGCCAGGAAACGTGAAACTTGTATATTCTGGAAATGAAGGAAACCTTATTCAGTATATCAATAGCAGAAGTAAAGTAAGTTATTTGGTTGGCAATTAATTATCCTTTTGATTAAATAAAATGTATCCTGATATGTTTTCTAGCCTTCATTTCAAATTTAAAGCTTTAAGGGAATTCTAATTTGAATTAATTCACACTTGAAGGTTGAGCAATCGGTTGAGCAGTCATATAGCTATTATTACAGTGATAATGGAAGTGCTGATTTGCAGGTAATGAATTACTTGTAGTTTTTTCCTTCTATATTCTTGGTTTGTGATTATATTTTGAAACAAATGTGTTGATATAAAATTTTGAAGGCCTCTGGAGCATACATCTTTCGTCCAAACGGTTCACATCCCATCGATCCTCAACAGCAGGTACAGATTTCTGAAACACTTGGACAAATGAACATTCTACGTACACCGACTTTGATAAATTAAGGAGCTATTTGAAGTTTCAGGTTCTTCTTAACGTTCTACGGGGACCACTGGTGGATGAGGTACATCAGAGGATCAATTCATGGATATATCAGGTAATATATCCACTACTGTGAATAAACTCACAGACGCTCTACTGAGAATTGCTAATAAGTTCTAGGAGAAAATGCAATAGCAGAGATCTAACAAAACTCCCACCAGTGTAGCTGAGCATATGGGAAATGTCTGATAGACACCACAATTGATCTCAGTCATGCTTTACTTTCTTTGTCAAATCTGTGATCAACAAAGAAGCTTCAGTATCTTCAAAGATCCCACTCCAATCTTTTTCCCATCTGGTTCACAATTGCAATGAGGTAGGTAACAGAAAGGGGTACTTTGTCAAATAAGAGAAATCTGTACGGTTTAGCAATTTGATATTTAAATATAGTTCATTTGCAAGACTTATTATCTTGTCACATATTAGTTCACTCCAGATCAAAATCTATATCAAGTGATATTCTGCTCTTAAAAGATCTTTGACAGGTACTTGAATGTTTGAAAATCTGAACGCTAAGAGTAATAGAGCTCAATCTATTGCCAAGGAAAACTGTAAGGTAACAAGTTAGAAATTGAAATTTCGGATAAAAAATCGAGCAAAATCTTCCAATTGGCTCAAAAGTTAGGTACTAAGAGGGACATCTAATATACATTACAGATACAAGATACGTGTACATAATGATGAGATACAACAAAAATTAGGGCTCTACAAAAAACTTGCACCACTTCACAACATTTATAGCAACGGAAAAAGTGGAATAAGGTAAAAATCCAAATCTAACCTTTCTTCCCTCTATGCAGGGACAGCCTCAACAAGCTTGCAAAGGAACTGTGTAGTAATTAAGCCCCTCTTATTTATTTTCCACCCAGCCTTTTGTAGTGCTCTTCCACATGCCTCGCGTGGAGATATGCTCTTGTTGCCTTGAAGGCCGGGAAACAACTCTCCCACTCTCTTCAACAAATCATAGTAAAATGTCTTGGTGCAAAGCTTAGAATAAGGCGCTTTTCAGCCAATGAAGCCAGGGGCCACATCCATCTGCTTTATTCTGGGGATAATGTATCAAGACATCTAAGCAGATACCGTGTCATACTTCATCTAAACTTCCAGATCCTTCACTTCAAATTTAGGCAGCACGGGTGTTTCACCTTCTTCCCTGCTGATAGTTGCTCTTCTGCCTAGAATAAAGATTTAATCGCACCCAGTGGATGAAAATAAAGCTGTAACTGCATTGTTCAGATTTTACATGAATACATGGATCACAAATCAAAGTAAAACATAGAATGCCCAAATGCAAATTGTTTTTACATTTATCGTAAAACATAACTTCCATTATTATAATAAAAAAAAAAAAAATTCCTTCAAACGAGAGCTGAAGCTGAAACTTTATACTCTTTCGCGGGTTGCAATACAATATCCAATGCTAGTAGCAGTGTAGCACTACCGTCCAGGTCCAATAATGTTAACGAGTCAATTGAAGTTACAGGTATTATTATCAATTATGTCATTTAAATGATGTGCACAAAATGTGTTACCATTTACAAGCAGCAAAATATATTTTACCAAAATAAATATGACCGAGATTGTGATACGGTGACTACGCGAGATATCAAATCACTATTACTCAACATAAGCACATTTCCAGCAAAACGAAACCAAAGCATCATAAAATTCAAAAACGACCAGTCGTCTCACCTGTTTCTTAGCTTCAGCGACCTAGCCGCCGAAATGTCGCTAGCCGAAACAATCGCCCCTTCTTTGGCCAACGGAATCGACAGACTCCCGGTCCCACACCGGCATCACAAAATGTTATCTCTTAAAGACCTTCTTCAGTCAACATATTCATCACATTTTCAAAGGTCTTCGCGTGACCCAGACGAATATCACGCTGAACTGTGTTCACATCATCAGTCACCGGAAATCTTTTCCATCTTTGGAAACCTGAATTATTGAAGTACTCTCTCACAACGTCTTTATCTCCGCCACCGACTCCTCGGCCGGATCGGCCGGCGCTCGGGTCCGCGAGGGAAAGCAAGGCGGCCAGTGCAGCAATGGGGCCGCCGCTTATAACGGCGAGAGTGGAAAAGTTGGGACGGAGGTGGTGGTGGCGGTGGAGAGAGGGGGGATGGCGGTGGTGGTGGTAGCATCGTTTTGATTGGTTTGGTACGTTTGGAGAGAGTTATGTAGTATTAGTGTGGAAGGGAATATGAGAGGATAGAGAAGCTGAAAAGCCATTTAATTATAGATTGAAGTTTTTCAAATATGGATTGTTTTGTGTCCGGCCGGTGGGGAGAGGGGAAGAAATGGCGGTTACGTGGCGGGGAGAGAGTAGTCCTGTTAGTGGTGACGATGATATGGTGTGTTGGAGATAAGATAAGAGTTGGAGATGATGGCCCGTGGGCGTTCGATTTCGTGGGCCCCCCTTTGTTTTTGGGGACTGTTTGTTCTGGTCCATCACTGCGACGCGGCCATACGTTAATGTTGGACCTCACTACTACTCACAGATTTAAAATATAGGCGGCACGTTTGTTTATTATCTTTGATAGAATTTTAAAAACAGTTGAGTTGGGTACTATTAAGTAGATTTAAAAATTTACAAAAATATTTTTAAAAGTTTGTAATTTAGCTAAATATGTTATAATAAAATATTAAAATTAACAAAACATATCATCTATCCATTAAATGTCGTAGTGGGCTACCACCATCGAAGGGTGGTCGACAGTCTCTATAATGATGTACGATCGACTGGATTTGGCAGGTGTGTGTGATATGACATTTTTCAATCAGATTTGGCCACGTTTGGTAACGATGACAAAAAATATGACCGTCATTGATGACCAACTCGGCCAAAGATTTGACTGTTAACGACCAGATCTTAGCCATAAATCTTGCTGAAAAATGATAGATTGACGCAATACTGGCTAGATCCAATCGGTAGTGCGTCATTACACCATTATATGGCTACTTTTTAGCGATGGTGGCCTGAATCTGATAAATGTGGGGTGATGGATGTGTTTTTGGTTAATTTCTAAACTTTTATTTATTTTATTTTAGTTAAATTATCAAACCTATGTGATTTAAAATAATTGAATAAAATAGAAAAGAAAACAAATATATGTTTTGGGTAAGATAGAGATACGATAGTTTAGAAATAACAAAACACACGCAACTAAAGTTTCTTTAAACACAATGATACATATATATATATGAATAATACTTTGGGTACTAACGGATGGGTACTAATCTGTGTACAACTAAAGCATAGTATCCATACATACGCATAGTACCCGTACTTGTTTTAGTTAGTACACAGATTAGTACCCCGTTAGTACCCATGCATCACTCTATATATATATAATATTTTTTTTCTCTTCTAATAATGGAAATTAATCAAAGTAATATTGTACATATAACTATGTTTTAATTTAAGATTGGAGTAAAACAATCATATATGAACAAAAGGAGCAGTTAATTACGAATATATCAATGACCTTGAAGATAAATAAGTAGGGTTGTGCTGATATATGACCTATTTAGTTTTTTAGTTTCCACGGATTGGGGCAAGTTTGTCTCATTTATCATCCATACTTGAATTTTAGTACTTCAATTTTGTGAATGATGCTACCTAAACTTAGTGATAGATTATAAAAAGGTTTAGTTGAAAGATGACTTATCTTAACGCGGAAAAAAAAAAAAAAAAATCACTTTTGAAAGATACATTTGAACCTCTATGGTTTTTCAAAAAGTGACATTTAACTCAGGTTACTGTTATGTTAAATTTTAATGGGAATATTTTTTATTCTTATGGTAAAAAGAGAAACAAAACTTATTACGTTTACCATACAACTGGGAATAAGCTAAATGAAATTTGACCATAGGACTCAATTTACATTAAAATATGGTAGTTACCTAACTAATAATAGCAGTATTAATATACAACGTCAAATTTATCCTAAATGTTTTACTAGACATTGGATTTTATTTTTTTTTAATTCCAAAAAAAGGCCCTAGAATTTAGTGACATAACTAATGAATTTACATTAAAGGAAGAACATTCCATTTCCATATCCACAATCACACTGAAATTAACCTCATAAAACCACCACATCCAAAATCTCCTCCATCACCACCATCTATAACCAGAACATGTGCTTTGAATGTGTCATAAAACACCATACGAACTACCGTACTCAATTTATTAAATCCAGCCTGTTAAATTTCCCAGTGGGAGTTATGTTTCACTTTTTAAACTATGACGGTGAAAGGTTGTTTTCACAAAACAAAGGGAGTGCAGAAATTTTAAATATACCCATAAAGAAAGAAAGAAGATTGGTTCGTCTCACCAATCACCATATCACAACAACAGCCTCACGTGCTTTAATAATAATAATAGATTCTTTATCATTATAGCGTAATAATGCAGTAAATCACAAAAAATAGATTAGTTCTTCTAAAATCTTATCTTATCGATTAAAAAAGTGAAATTATAATAGCATATTTTAATATGACAGCTGAAGATAATATAATAGCATATTCGATACGGAATAATATTAAAAAAAAAAAAATATCCGACAAACGAGTCTTGAAGGCCAAGCCGAATCGTAGAAAATCCAATAAGATAATGCGAATATAAACTAAACGTATACGAATCGATTCGGTAATAGCAACTAATAAATGTTGGTCATGGTGAGCATGATATGGGGCATATTAACTGTAACAAATCCTTAAATATTCACGGGACTTGCTATTTTCACTGAGTCTGAGCTGGAATTTTGGATGACATGACTATTCACTCATTTTCTACTACTAGATAAAGCTTAGAGATCAAGATTGTTTATCTCATATACAGACACCCAACTTGCTTCATGTGCTCGATAATAACATTATGTTCTGCTGACTGTTACCAAACAAGCAGTACAAGACAAAGAAACAAAAAATCATACTTGGAATTTTCGCTTCATCATTTCCATGAGAAAAAATATCTGTAACTTATATTTTCTTATATTTGAACTCTCCACAGTTGCTACTTGTTGAAGTAAACTGTGGCAACCGGCTAATGGCAACTCCGTTTCGTTTGATATTGCTTTTTGTTTGGCATTTTTGTGTGGAGTCGAAGTATATAAAATATAATACTACGGCTGGGATTGTTCCGGGGGATCAATGTTCATTTGGTGGCTCACTCACATGATGATGTCGGTTGGTTGAAAACTGTGGATCAGTACTATGTTGGATCTAATAATAGCATCCAGGTTAGATACTTTATTGTTAATAAAGGTTAAGGTTTCTGTTTTTGATTTAAAGTTTGAGATTTATTTATTAATTTCGTGTGTCACTGCAGGGTGCTGTGTGCAGAATGTGCTTGATTCCTAGTTCCGGCATTGTGGCTGATAAGAATCGCAAGTTCATATATGGTGAACAGGCAGGGCTTATGCTCTTTTCTTTCTTGTGTTTTTGTTTGGTAGTTGAGAAAATGTTGAAATAGAGATGAAACTGAACTTTGCGTCAGTAGCAA